TGTTGTCTCTTTCACTTTTGTTAAATTGCTGTTATTAAAAGGCTCCAGAGCCAAACGGTAAGCGCCTGCCATCATTCGTGTTGTAGTTATTATCCTCTTAGAAGCGACAAACACCGACTGATAAAGGCCGGTGCTGAAATTTTCGGAAAAGCCCCGGTCTGAAGGTGCGCATGCGCACTTTGACTTGGGGTTTCCGTGGTCTTGTCTCTATTGAATGTTTGCAGCATATTGCAAACAAGCGTGGCGGAAAAGTGTGGGTGTCCCCAAATTCCATTGTAATGATGCACGATATTTGCGTGATTTTGATAATAGGATGGAATGTTGAAGGTATAAAGTCAGCACGAGAGGTTTGCGCGTGACTGCTGCAGTCAGTGTCTTTTTCTCACTACTGTTTCACCCCCCTATCTCTGTGATGGTGCCTTTACTGCACCTCGTATACTCTTAATTCTTTGAGAAGGGACGTGAAAGTACAGCACATAATGTCACGATTTTTAAAACAAATAGAAGCAGAACTACATCATGATGTTTACTCTGGGAATGCACGGACTTGTTTCGCACTGAAGCATCAAAAGGAGGAGGAGGAGAAGGAGATGCTGAGATGATGCAACAGCTGAATTTGTAGCAGCACAAGCTGCAGGTGTGCAGCTGAGCTGTCCAGGAAACCTACTTTAAAATTATATATATTTTTTAAATACCATACTTTTTGAGAAAAATAATGACAAAATTAAGAAACGATTGGTGTGTGTTGAAAAAAAACAGGACTTAACAGTCTTTTTAAATTGTAAAGTAATTACTTGCAGCCAGAGCTTTTTTTTTTTAAAGTCTTTTGGATGAAATACAAGTCAAGTCTCTTGCAAATCAAAAAGCAGATCCTTGTGCTCTATTAATGCAGAGTATGCTAAGCAAAATAATACCTTCACCTCCTTTAGTGGAGAAGAGAAAAAGGGTCAAAACAGGAGCAAAGAAGAGAAGAAGATATTATACATTGCTCAGAAACTTACCAAATCATCACAGTATAACACAGAGTCAGTTAAACTTCAGGGATGACAACAAGTGCAATAGAGAGGCAATACCAAGAAAACCCCCAAAAAGGGAACAGTTTTTCATGTGGTCAATGCCCAGCCTAATGTGGCCAGGGTGTGTAGGAAGTTCCTGGATGATGAAGGCATTGATGCCACTGACTGGCCCTCTCGTTCCCCAGACCTAAATCCAATTGAGCACCTATGGGACATTATGTATCGGTGCCGTCACAGACTGTCCAGGAGCTTACTGATGGGAGGAGATCCACCAGGACACCATCTGCCAACTTATCAGGAGAATGCCCAGATGTTGTCCAGAGTGCATACAGACACACTGCTGAGTTGCCGTGATAAAATTCATGCAAGTTGGATCAGTCTCAATTTTTCACTTTCATTTTCGGTGCGATTTTGGATCCAGCCCTCAGTGGGTTGATGATTTTGCTTCTTTATCTTTTTTCTAAGAAAACCGACATTGCAGAAGCTATGGCAAACTTAACCACTTCTATACTGAAAATAAAAAACAAATGAAAATTAAATGTGATGATTAATTTAACAAAAATATATAGAAATATGATGGGCTACATCCCTCTTTTCCATTGTTAGGTATGAACCTTCATTTTCACCAGCTCCCCTCAGGCATGCAAAGTTTAAAAACTATGAAAACTCTGATCACTAATGTAACTAAACCATTGCTGGCTGAACTTATTGTATTTACTCCAAAGTTCAGTGCAGTTGACTCTCTTTGTTTTACATGAGATCAGCTGAATTAAACAGCACCATTCAGTTTGTTGAGTATTTATTCAGCTTAATTGATTCTGTGCAGCTCTCCTTTATGCCAGCCTAAATGTTTATTATGAAGGTCTAAATTCTCCACACTGCCAGGAGTATAATTCTGGGGGAGAGACGGTGAAGTCGTTATCTGGCCTTAGTTTATTATTGCTTTCACCTTGTGTGTGTGTGCGTGTGTGTGTGTGTGTGTGTGTGGACACCAATGGCAGCAGGAACTGCCTCAGAAGTGGCTTTGACTACTTTGCCAAGTGTTTATGCTTTCTGTGGACAATTTTGTCACTGTGATGCATCACAACTGTGCAAGACGTTGTCACAAAACTTAATCAGGTGTGTATTTGAGAGAAAAATGATGGCTGAGGTCAAAGATTGGTGTGGTTCAAGGAAGGGGACCAAAAGAAGGGGGGTAGGGAAAAGTGGGGCACAACCTCACACATTGTAAACTGCAACACAGACTTTTTAAGTGATTACACAGGGCTGATCCTTTTGTTCTTCCAGCCAGTTGATCACAATACCACCAAACAGTGACCTGCAAAATTCCACAGAGACTGGACGTGTTTCCACAGAGTTCAGTGACAAAGAGTGTTTTTGACCGACATAAGTAAATTTCTTTGTCTTACTTCCTTTTTGATTACTGAGTTGTTGTTGTTGTAAGTCATCGAATCCAACCATATATCATCATAACAACTAACTTGTTGCCTAAAACACTGCATCGTTTTGAACTATGTACCCAATTCCTAGCGAATGTTAGCTAAGATTGATAAAATTTAGCCACCAATTTGGCCATTTTCCTTGGTTTTGAATTTCAAACTTACGTTCAGTTTGAAATTATGTCCTTAATTAAATGAGATATACTTTGTATTTCTAATTTGTCAGGGATGTTATGGACATACAGTTTTACAGTCTTGTCAATATTCATACATCCCAAACTCCTACTACTTTGACATGTGGATCTAGGTTACCCAATCTATGTGCATCTATTGATCCATGGATGGATACCTGTAGGATACCTATCCTTCCCCTTATGTAGATGGAAAGATAGGTATCCACATACATCTATCCATCTATCTATCAATCCATCAATCGTGCATCTATCATGGATGTTTGAATATCTATCATAGATAGATCCATAAACAGTATCAACCTATAGTATACAGATAGAATTGTATTACATCAATCGTGTTAAACAGACGTTTCCACCAAGTGTTACAGCTAACCCTCTGCCTGTTACAATTAACCCCACCCATGGGGTATGTTGTAAGATTTCACTTCCGCCAACTGTCGATGCAGTTGTAGAAGAAAGTGAAGTTCTAGAAAGAAAAAAAAAACAACTGTTAATTTGTAGCAGAGGTGTGCATGTTCTTAAAAGAAATTGTCAGACAGTTTTAATAATATTAGCCAAAATGTGTTACGTTGTGCCCCACTCTCCCCTAGTAAGTAGGAAGAGGGCCATTGCCGCCCCACTTTACACCCCTGGCCCGCATTCAGGCCTGGAGTGATCTCATCACAAGATGGTCTCTAATTTTTGTTGTTGTTGTCTAAAAGTAGTAAAAGTAGTTTTACAAATTTAGTTAAATTCAACAGAAAAATGGGTCATACATTAGTAAGTTTTAGCAATGGTTTCAACCTATTTAATTTAGTGATGCCTAAGACTTCACTTAGTGAACGCTGGCTCCAGCATGCAGTGTAAAGCATTAACTTGATATAACATTAATGGCTAATTATAAGTATTTCTACACCAGCATGGTGCTACCAAATGCTGCCGAGTAAGCTCTTACAGAAGGAAGATACCCATTATGTGTTGATTTCAAAAAAAGAATTATTGGTTATTGGGGGAGTTTAGCGATGGGGAAGGAAACAAAGATTAGTAGGGTGATGTATAACTGTCTATTCAATTCATATATTAATGGACTATATGTATCACCATGGATTTCTTTTGTTAAGCTAATATTAGATGAATGCGGTTTTTCTTATGTTTGGTCAGACCAGAGATGTGACATTAAATGGCTGAAGATGGCAGTTGAGCAGAGGTTAAAGGATCAGTTTGTGCAGAAGTGGCGTTATGAACTCCAGAGCATGTCCTCATGTGATTTATATTGTGAATTTAAAGAGGATTTTAAGTTTGAAAAATATTTACTCTATGTATAGCTTTATTGCAGACTGATAATTCAAGAACAGTATGTAAACTGGGTACTTTCTTGAACAATGTTTTGCCACTTTTTAAATGAAATAATGTATGGTCGCACCTGAATGCAGGCTTGGTTGCCTTGGTTGCAGCTGCTCCTTTATTTTGATCTGTGATGACTCATTCTGACTGTTTACCATTTGCTTTGTTTTGTTTTGTTTTTTGTCTTGTTTGTACTCCATACCACAATTGTGGTGAAGAGCTAATAAATATGACTATGACTATGACTAGAAATAAATTGTGATTTTACCTGAACCTAACTAAACATAGAGGGCTCCAATTTAGTTATTCTTTAGCCTATCTTTGAAGGCCTGAATCTGACAATAGTACAAAGTTGTCAGACAAGCCAAAGTTTATTACATTAATATATAATATTGTTAGTTAAATAATTTTAATAACTTGTAAAAGCTTTATATTACTCTATTAATCATCCCACCGACAATATTATTTATTGATGTATGTACTTTGAGATGTCTGATAACCTTCTACTATTGTCATGTCCGGGGCTCTGTGTATAGGCTTCCTACCACCCTTCGTGAGCAGCTCAAGGTGTGACTTCCATGTTTCCGACTGCACTTGAAAGCAGCATAGCTACAGTAAAATAACCAGCAGGAGCAGTCAAGAGTGCAGCTCAGCGGAGAGCAGACACAGCTTCCTGGATGGAAACAAAACACAAGAGCAGAGCAGACACACACCAACACACCCATACACAGACCAGACAGGAGCGAGCAGGACGTTAAACCTAAACATGTTTTTAGTTTTGTTTTAAGCTCGGTGCGTGTGTGAGGGAGGCGGCAGCGGGGCGACAGTGGAATTAGGCGGTGACAGCAGAGGTTATTATAACAGCAGACTGTATCAACACATGTGCCTGTGGCACAGTGAGAGCACTGCGGCTGTGGATCTGGACTCAGGCAGCTCCTACACCCAGTGGTCCTCAGGCAAGGTAGGTCCCCCCTCTCTCCTCTGCTCATTTGGCTTTTGTCTGCATCACTCACACAATCCAGTATCAAAAATGTGTACACTTACTCCGTGAATGCGTCAGAATTGTGACCTATACGAGAATGCAACCTTGAGAGGGATGCAGATGTGTCAGATTTCATGTGGTCTGTTTGAATGCACTGTAATAGATGAGACATTACACTGTTACTTTGTCACAAACAATACTGCAAGAATTGCAGAAACATATGCAAAAATATTTCTGTAGCAATATACCTTTAAATCACTGCAACCTAATTCAACACCCACTGATTCTGGTTAAAGTGATGTATAGTAAGTAAAGGTTTGCAGTCTCCCAGCCCATCATTTGCTCCATATTGCTGTGTTTCAACTTCATGTGCTCTTTTTTTAGGCTGCCTCCCAAGAACACACAGGTTACTGGGCCAGGAATCCAGAACAACACACAGGGAGTGATTGCAGCTGTTTAAATGATGCTGTATAAATTCTCCTATACACTCCCCGAGCTCACAGTCCCAGCTGCCTCCCTCCTAACACAGTGGCAGCCTGTGTAAGTGCAGCACGGCTTTTCGCTGGGCAGATCTGGTTTTCCGTTTCTGCCTCTCCGGCCAACAATGATGCTTTGATCCCTGGTGGCTGGAATGCCATCTAGACCTTGATCCGTGAGGACTGCTAATCACTAAATGGTCAGCTCCACGCCTAAAAGGAACTGTTAGCACACAAGGGCGTTTTGATAAATGAATAGCTCTAACAGTGGAGATTCAAGTTTGGGCTCTTGTTCTTGGTTTTAATTGCTTGCTCAGGGACAGGGACTGCAGTCTTGATAGGTTCCTGAAGGCCAATACTAATAGTGATACATTTAGTATTGAAGCTTCTGGTTGTCAGCACTTTGTATCGACAATTAATGTTTTTAGACTTAGTCCCACATGTAAGCATTCAGAGTGGAAATGCTTTTGAAACAACACTCAGACTGTGGTGTAATCCTCAAACTTATTCATGCAAACTTAAATATCTCTCTCTCTCTCTCTCTACTGTATTTCATTAGAATCAGACATATTGATGTATTGATGTATTGATGTATTCTACGGTTCATACCCAGTGATGGCCGTGTCTGCAGCCGTAATCAGGCCAGTTTGTTTAACCCGAGTCTGGGCTGTCATTTGTGTCATGTCTCAGCCGAATTGGGGAACCAGACATGGCCCGACTTATTTATTTTGTCGTGCCAAGTTTGGGCCAATACCGGGTCAGGTCATGTTGACAACAGCCCAGTGATAGTATTGGCAGCCGGAATCAGGCTTGTTTATTTGGCCCAATTCTGGGGCGTCATTGACGCTGAGTCTCAGCTGAGTTGGGCAACCAGACACAGCCTGAGTTATTTCTTCCGGCAAGCCGAGTTTGGGCCAGTGCTGGGCCAGGTCATTTTGGCTACCTGGGTAGTCAATGAAACTGCCTCATATCTCCCATATCAAAGGTGGAATGGCAGTGATAAGTCTGTTGTTCCAAGATAAAAAAAAAAAAAAAAAACACTTCCACCAGCTTCATATATTGACGGATGGCAGGTAATCTCAAGTTCCGCTAAACTTTGACGTTGTTCAGGAATGAAAGGCTTTACACTGTTATTAAATACATATTGGAGTTTCCAAGCAGCAAAGCTAGCTGACTAGAGACCTGTTATTTTCTTGCTTGGGCAGGACAGGACAGGCTGACAGTTATGTGGGATGACTGCAAACGGCTCAGCTCGCCTGTCTAAAAGCAGTCCAGGAGAATACACCATGACTGTGCAGAAAAACCAATGTGTACGGCTACACAAGCTCCACTATCAATCATCTGCATGTATGCTGCCACTGATCGATTGTACATAATAAAAGAGCACTCAACTGAAAAAATTTAGGACACTGGTGTTGGTGGTGGCTGTATTGATTGAGCTGCCCCGAAGTTTTCCTGCCAGGTTTAACAGCCAGCTGAAATAGAGAGCAGTGTGTGGGATAAATGTGTGATTTCAACAGCCACTCAGGCTGCAGAGTGTGTTTTTAACACCACCATTTCCTGTGTGACCCCATTCTGTGTCCAACCACTGTTATCTACAGGATTAATTGCAAATCCCAGATTATGGGTTTATTATTTCTCATGCTTTTTGGGATTGGACAGAACCAAAGGGACGATTTTTGGGTTTGGTGATTTTTAGTTCCATTAACACCAGATTAGGTCTTTTTAATATCCCCCATCCTCTGTCATGCTGAGGTCCCAAAATATGCAACTAGTACATCCTCTTATATATTGAGAGCATATGCATTTGTTCCTTCCCAATAATATAGAGGTCTGGCACAAACTGATAACAACAGGTGCAAATAAGACATTTAACAATCTTTCATAATCGGTGCCTCCGATAGTTGCAGATAGCTGCACAGTCTCACATGGGGATGTACATCACTGACGAGAGCTAAACAGGGGAGGGTCGTGTTAAATGATCAGTGGGTACAGCAGCTCCAGAGAAAGCAGGTCCTCTCTTCTGTGGGACTGTGTCTTGCGTATTATTCTTCATTTTCACATGTATTGTCTTTACAGTCTTTTATTGATTGATCTAAATGGCATTTCTGAGAAGTTCCAGTCTGGTTTTAAGCTACTCCATAGCACAGAAACGGCGCTTTTAAGATTTTTAAATGACCTTCTTTTAACAGTTGACTCAGGTAACTCTGCTGTCCTGGTCCTTCTGGATCTGACAGCTGCTTTTGATACAGTCGATCACAATATTCTCCTGTCACACTTAAATACTTGTGTGGGCATTAGGGGTACTGTTCTGAAGTGGTTTCGATCCCACCTCTCAGATAGAAGCTTTTCTGTCCAGCTGGTCCAGTATTCTTTGGCCATTTCCCCCCTGAGCTGTGGGGTGCCTCAGGGTTTCATTTTGGGCCCTCTCCTTTTTTTTAAATAAGCATCCTACCTTTACCTCTATTTGTAGAAAGCACATTGTCTCATTTCATTGCTTTGCAGATGATGTACAAATCTATCTGCCGTTAAAAACAAATGATTGAGCATCTGTCCATGCTTTATTAGGCTGCCTCAATGACATCCGGTCCTTGATGGAAGTAAAATTTCTCTCCTTGAACAAAAATAAAACCGAGATAATTTTATTTGGCCAACAAAACCTCTTGGATGGCTATGACAGTGCCATTGGGACCCTCAAGTCTCACTGTCATCCTTTTGCAAGGAACCTTGGTTTTATTTTAGACAGTGATTTTAAATTTGACAAACAAATAAGCCCTATAGTCAAAACAAGCTTTTTTCAGTTGAGACTATTAGCAAAAGTAAAGGCATATCTCCCCAGAAATGATTTTGAAAGAGTTATCCATACCTTTGTTACATCACGCTTAGACTGTTGTAATTATTTGTTTTTTGGTCTCGACCAGTCAACACTTCGCCGTTTACAGGTAGTCCAAAATGCAGCTGCCCCCCTGCTGACTGGAAAGAAAAAGCAGGATCACATTAGCCATGTCCTTTCATCTTTGCACTGGCTGCCCGTTAATTTTAGAATCCAGTTCAAAGTTCTATTAATTGTTTTTAAATGTTTAAATGGTTTGGTACGATCTTAATTATCAGAGCTTGTTCAGCCTCACACTACTACCAGGGCACTTAGGTCGTCAAACCAGTTGCTCCTGGAAGTATCTCGGTCCAGGCTCTCTACCCGTGGGGACCGAGCCTTTTCAGTAGCGGCCCCAAAGCTGTGGAACAGCCTACCTTTCCAGGTTAGAGCTGCGCAGTCTGTTGAGCACTTTAAAACTCTGCTGAAAACCCATCTTTTCTCCTTGGCGTTCAATCCATGCTAGGCGAGTATTCTCGGCTCTTTTCTTTCTTACTTTCTCTTTTATTCTAACTTTGTTCTAAATTGATTTCTTTTTATTGTTTTATTTATGACTATATTTGTGCTTGATTATTTATATTGTATCTTAGTAACTGTACTGTACAGCACTTTGGTCAACTGAGGTTGTTTTTTAAATGTGCTTTATGAATAAACTTTGACTTGACTTGACTTGACTATTGACATGAAGTTTTTGCCTGGACCACAACAGCAGGCCCCACACTATAGCTCTATTAGGGCTAGCGGGTGTAAGGGCCAGTTAATTAGTTGTTGGCTTTTTCCTGTTCTGAACTATTGTCATTAAATCAGCCTCTAAAAATCCACGACTGGTCAACCTCTGTGATAAAAAAATATGTAAGCAGTAGTAGTGGGACTTTTATTTGACAAAATTGAAGACATTTTCACCATAAATTGCCGCATAAAAATTCACCACAATGCAGGAAATTAACTGTGTCAAACATTCTAGCAGAGGACCCCTAAACCCCTTGTTTCATATGTGTCCCCAATAGTGCTGAAAAGAAACCTACGCCCTGACCTCTGGTGATCTTCTGACTTTTCATCTAGCATCAGCTGCCTTAGCACTAATTAGCAAATGTTAGCATGCTAACATGCTAATCTATGATGGTGAATATGGTTAACATTCTTTCTCACAGACCTGCCAGTATGACTGTAGACTTAGTCTCGTTAAATGGGTAGTTTCATATTAGAAAAATACATTTTACTACCTTACTTACCTATTTTACAAAGACCTGAACAAGAGAAAACAAGAGAAACATTGAACTACAAATTAAAAAAAAAAAGGTTCAGAAATGTGACCTATCCCTTCTATCCTAGTTAATCTCTCTTTCTGCTCATTAGAGGCAATTTTAGTCAAAAATTTTGAAAAACTTTTAAATTCATTTGAGTAAGTTTCCTTCTTTTCCATCTTTTTACGCCCTGTTATTTAACTCAGTGTTGACTTAGCTCCCAAGTACCTCCTGTGGCAACACAAGTGTGTATTTGCTATGTTTCTAAAAAGGATTGACAATCAATTCTTCCTGTCAGAATGAATGAGGAGCTGGTCAATAACTCGGTAAACATGCTTCTTGGACTTTGGCCTTAAAAATGACATGATGCGTAATAAATAATACCGCAGTAATTACACATAATTATGTTTTACTTCATGTACCACACAGCTTTAAACAATGACTAATTCATCTCTTGGGTAACATGACAATGTAATGCCTCTGGCAGAGGTTAAGTCATCACAGTTGGTATACCAGTTACCAGAAGAGATGACAGGTTCCAGAAAAAGGGTGCAGTGTTGTCAGAAGGCCTGGCATTGGTTGTGTGAACTGCAACAAAGAGGAAGAAAAGCGTTAAACCTTTGCCAAAGAGACAAATAGATCAGTGCTGTTTCTGCTTTCAGGAATATGGAGGCTGTAGCTCCTCTCCGTCCCCAACAGAAGGGCTAGGATCAGCCTGATTGCTACTTCCCCACCTGTCTCGCCCCGCCATGGCGAGCAGGAGTCCCACCCTGAGCCGGGAAGCTGGGGACTCGGCACCGAGGACCCCTGAGGCCAGCGCTAACCCCCAGCCGGGGCCCGAGGCCTTCTGCAAGCTGTGCCTCAGCGAGCAGCCGTCAGCAGCCACCAGGGAACTGCAGAGCTGCGATTGTGTCTTCTGCACAGCGGTAAGAAAAGACAAACACAACCAGTTTACTCCAGACATTTACAGTAGATAATGCTCATATCCAAGCGCTGGAGCAGTTGAGGGTAGCTCAAGGACACTAGTACAGGACACGTTCTACTGCTATGGAAATCAAACCTCTGAGCCTTTGTTGAAACTGAAGGGTGCCTCCAGGCTATATTTAGATTAAAGTATGCTTATCCTCTACTCATATTGCTCATGCTTTTAGTCATCTTATGTAGGCGGTGAAGATTTCACAAAAGTGATCCAACACTAAAGTTTTCTTTGGGCAATTTAGGCAAATCTCCAACATTTAAATTACTTGGAATGGGATGCTCATCTTTATTGCAGGACCACTTCCTGCTTTAAGATCTTAAAATAGATCAATTTATTGGCAAATCTTGCATATTACAGCTTAAGTGAAATGAACTGGTTTCAACACAACTGGCTTTCGCTCACGTTTACTTTCTTTGTGTTGTCCTTGGAAATTTTTGTGATTTATCAAAACTGTTTTCTCACATTTGTTGTTCACATTTCCTTGGAGCTTTTTCAGTCCTTTTATGAGAGAAGAAAGTGCTATCAGTAGAACACAGAGCTGTATCATTTATAACAGGAGCACAGAGGTCTGCTACTACACTGCTCTTGTCTAATACGTGCCTGCCTGACATATCGAAACTGTGACGGTGTTTTGCCCTGACACAGAGAGGTTGCTAGATAGTGGCAGGTGTTAATCTCTGTCCAAGGTAGCCAAGTTGTCACTGTTGCACGCACAAGGTCACACAGATAAAACACACACATATACACACACACACACATAGGCAGTGTCACAGAGAAAAAAGGAGGGAATGGGATACTGTAAACCCTGCTTATCAGCTGAACTTTATTTTATAAACCTTAAATATCTCCTCCAGTCTGGTCCAAGAACACAGACTGTTGCTTTTGTTTTTTAATTCCAGATCAGTTTTTGGATGAACGCTTCATTGGAAAGCACATGATAAGCACAAGTTTGCACATACAAATGAGTCCAGTCCTCCACAATAGATTTGTCTTTCCTCAGAAAAATTACATTTAAATGTTTTTATTTTCTGTTCCTCAAAACTGTCTGCCTTTGCGCAACGATTACAAAGTTCCTCCTACCCTTCCATATTTCATGTCTGAGGCAACATATGACTTTTGACATGTTGATACTAAGAAAGTCATGTTTGTGTGCATTTCATTTTCCATATCCTTTCTTTGCTTACTACATTTGTCATGAGTAGATTGTCATGTTTGATGTGTTGTGTGTTTTGTATTGTTTTTCACCTAGGTTGGATGATATATAGTTGAATATGTTACTTATTACAAAGGCACTGTGGTCCCTGTTCCATTCACTATCTGCACTTATAATGCTGTGTTGTTCCTCCCTCTCTAGTGTTTGGAGCAGTATGTTCAGCTTGCCATCATGGAGGGTGGGGGAGCACCCATCACCTGCCCTGATATGGCCTGCCAAAAGACCGGAGTGCTACTGGACTCCGAGGTATGCCCTGCTTAAAACCAGTGAAAGATGTAGGTCATGAGTGAAACCAAAAAAAGCAAAAAGACGTCAGAGGCCATAAAGTACAGAAATACTGTCGATGTACAAACATGCACAGAACTTAAAACATGTTTGAATTTCTAAGTTGCTGCAGTTTTTTCCAGTCGGGAGTGATGATGAAGTTGGACTTTCACCCTGGTGTTTGTAAAATTGTGTGGGCTGAATAAACTAAGATGATGTGAAAATGCTGTGCACCCAGCCTTAATGACATTTCTGAGGGAATTCTTTTAAGGGTGAAGAGTAAAAACAAGGTGATGTGAACATTAAGACAGAAAGTGAAACTCCATGAGCTATTGCTCATCTTAGATAGAAGACAGTAAACACGTCAGAGAAAAAGCTTAAATTGCTGACTCGCAAGCAAATGGAAATTCTGCTCCTCCGTTCCTCATTTGTAATGTTTTCTTGTCTGAATGCAACAGCATTAAGAAACTTATTGTAAGAAAAACTGCTTTAACTAGTCCATGCTCATTGGACCTGTATCTGAATTATAGTAGAATCAAACAGCAACCTCCAGGGCTGAAATATTAAGTGCCAAAAACCACAGTTCCTTGAATGGCAACTTGAGGCTGGCTCCAAAAGCGAGTTAATCCCCATACACCTCAATGTTAAACTTTACAGCAGAAATAAACATGTTTACAGCCTGGTACAAAAAACAGGGTAGGTCTGGTAGCTAATTTCCATATTCATGACAACTCTAAGTGAGGTCCATTTTACGTCACGGTAGCTACGTCCATTATTTTTGAACAGTCTATGAGTAGAATTGAGCTGATTGTCGAGGTTCTAACCCCTGTTATCTAGTATTGAAGAATGTCTTTAATCTTAGAAGATTGGAAGAAGAAATAAGAAATTGAAAGTAAGAATTTTTTAAAAATATTCTCAAGCTTGCTGGTCTGTGAATTTTGGCTAATTGGCATTTCTTACTATAAAGTAATGTTGATTTAAGCAAACGTCTTGTGTTTAGTGTTTGCAGACATTTCTTGTTGATAATATGCAGATGTCATCTTGAAGCTTTTATAACATCATAAAATGGCATTATAATTGTTGTTTTGCATCTTTTTTTCATATGGAAAACGTACAGTCAACCCCTTTTTTTCTCTCAGTGGCTATTTACTAACTACTGAGGTGTCTTAGAAATAATGCAGCAAATTGCAGTTGCTAGGTGACCGGTTAATCCTGGATGATCTTTGGGGTATCAGCTTCTCAGCAACCACACAAAATAGTCTCATTTTCACAACCATATATTTTCACATTTATCTATCCATTAGGGTTTGAAAAAAATGGACTTGTGCATGCTTCTTGCCTGCACACAAAAAAATAGCATCACAGCTCTAAGTGAATAAAAGATGATTAAAGCACAACTTGTTTCTTTCTGTGTGATTGCAGATTGCTAGTTTGGCCCTAGAAGAGCAGGTGAAGCTGTATCAGCGTCTGAAGTTTGAGAGAGGTAGGTATTGTTGCATTAGCATGCTGATGACTGGTGACAGGCATTGGGCTATTTCAGGTTGCACTTCATGCCGGTGTCATTACACTAAGCAGCGCCACAGAGTGCTGAGCTTCACATGCCTGGGATAATGTGGGGCCTCCTGCTCTTTTTCTATTCTGCTCTGGTCCACTTTTACCCAGGAGGTTACAGAAACTGTGCCTTCACTTAAACCAAACAGTACAAGCACGATATTCAGAAACAAACTCTGCACGTGCTCCTCTGTTAAATTTGAAGTAATGAGCGTTTCAGTGCAATAAATGGTATGACCTATGTGTAGCTGATTGCACCATTAGTTGTGGAAATGTGAAGGCAGATTGTATCTGTGTCGTGCACTGGTGGCCTGGGAACAGAAGGAGAATAACTGTTGATACAGGTTTCTGTTGACATTTACAAATTGCAGAGTGATGTTAGTTAGCCTTGTAGCTATATTCGTCTCTTCCAGTCGCATAGTAACAATACGCTGTGAAGCCAATAATAGTTATCGTTTACTCTGGCCATAAATCACAAGACTCATAATATTGGAAGTATAAAGAAGTGCAAAGTGCAAGTTGTTTCACAACAGTGTTCCCCTTGTGTTATGATTAGCAATGCAAAGTATGAGCTGGTGCAGGGGATCATGAAAACTCCAGCTTTTGTTTTGGTTATGAAACATATGCCAGGTGTTTTTGTTACCATTTTACATCTGAATTAGTATCTTTATGTTCTCATTAACTACTTAGAAGGTTGTTTGCTCTCATAGATAACCCACTACAAGTGAGAACAATGGATTTATCAGATGCTTTTAGCCATGCTAACCATGGATGGCATGTGTGTGTGGGTTGGTCAGTCCATCTATCCCTCTGCTTTATAGTGCACTAAATGGTAAAAAGATACATTTTACCTACTTATACCTGTACTTTGTGTTTAGCATGCTAAGGCACTGTTCTTAATTTATCAGAGGAGGGCAGTGGCTGGAGTGCTGCTTTATTTATTTTTTCTGACCCTTTCTGAAGCTACAAATATTTTTCCTTGAGCCTCCCTGAGTGACTTGGGGAAAATACATGACCATAAATTAGCTTTTTAAAAAGTACCCCTTGATGTTTAAAAATTAAAAGTAGAAGATTTTTGGACATAGAATAAAGTGATTTTGATGAAATATCACTATTTTAAGCTCAGATTTGGTTATGTTTTTTTGTCTGATGTAAGCATTCGTTACACATGTGTCCAAGGGCTGTCAGAAATTTGAATATCCAATAATTATTTAGGTTTTTACAGTTTCTGGTTATAACATGCATGTTTTCTTTAAAAATTGACAGTAAATAAAATACAAAAAAAGAGCCATTTAATGTTACACACCGCTCCCTGAGCAAAAATAAAAAATAGAATTCTCTCCCCAGAGCTTAAAAATGATTTGACGTGCCATATTGTCTCTAACACACAGTTGCATGTTAGCATTGTCATGAGACGATAGCATTTTATTTAACCTTTATTTAACCAGAAAGTCCCAGATTTAGCTTAAAGCACTGCTCGGCCAAAGTAGCCTAGGCTACAGTCTCAGAAAGACCCCAGTGGCTTTATTCAATAGTTTTTTTTTACTGTTAGCACCGAATCGAAGTGCTAAATGTACAGTTGGAATTGTAAGATATCTGACATATATATTGTTAGATGGTGAAGTAATGTGTTGTTGTTATGTCAGAGACAGTTTAAGACAGTTCTGTGGTCGAACTGGAAGAAGCTGAACTGGAGGAAGCAATCCCTGTGCTTTTACTTTACCCACATCCCACAGTAACTAACTAGTTAGCCTAATGCCATGAGTACACAGTGTTACAGACAGTAGCTATTCTAGCTGCAGGATGTTTTTGTTGTCATTTCATCTGTTGACTTGATTTTTTTTATTTGCAGTCCAAAACCAGTCAATGTTTGGCTTTTAGTTTGAGAAATGACTTGATTGATTATCAATTCATTTTCTGTTGATGGAGTACTTGAGTAACGATTAAATGTTTCAGCACTAATTCTCTTTCTTCCAGATCAGCAGTATTACTGATTGTGCTGATAGTACTGATAAAGATAGTATGGCCACTTTTACTTGGGAGAATAGCAAAGCATGCATTTATTTTGTTTGTGACATCGACTTGATGTCTGCTTCAGAGATGCACAATCATGTCCCCTCTTTGCTTTCTTCAGGGGTGAAGTTGGACCCCAGTAAAGCCTGGTGCCCGGTACTTGAATGTCAGGCGGTCTGCAGTTTGCAGCTGAGCACTGAGGGCCAGCCCACCGCTGTGCCCTGCCCGACCTGTCACACCGTCTTCTGCTCTGGGTGCAGAGGGCCCTGGCAGGACGGCCATACCTGCCCTGAGCGCCAGCCCATGATGTCGCCCTCACCGTCTCATGAAAGCAGGTCAGTTAGTCATTTGTTTGGTCAGCCGCCCAATGCCTGCAGCCACAGAGTTTGAGCCGCACTGATGATACTGTGCTGACAGTGTGTCGGTTTAGGACACTGAGGAGTCTACAAAGAGACATTTGTTACTGCTGCTAACAGACAGAGTTATGATTGCATTTATGAGTTTTATTAACCATTCAATTGAGGATATTATATTTCTAAGACATTACATGTGTTACCTTTAACTGTTTGAAGACTATCAATTCCATTATTTTATTTTACGAGGGAAATCCCATCCTTCCATTTAATACAAAATGACCTGACAGTTATTGTGGGAGGATATTTACACTGAATGGATTATAGAACTGATGTGTAGTTCCTTGTCTCCCAGTGGAGGCCCTGAGCTGAATATACAATAAACATTATTTCAGGATTAATAGCTTAGTATACCTCAGCATTGCCCTCTGTGTAGTCCCTGTTGTGCAGCTACATTACTGTGCTGCTCTGAGCTGTGGCTCTGCCAGACTGACTGATGTCATTGGGGAGTCACTGACTTATATTGGAATTCCATTGTCTCTGTGCTGAAGGGAGGAGGAGGGTGGGCACCGAGCCATGTGGTTCACTGTACAGAAGGAGCCTGTGCACTGCAGTGAAGGAGGGGTGGTGTCTGCATATTGCTGGGGAGGATGGAGCAGGCGTGAGGAGAATGAAGGGAGATCAACTTTAAGTTTGAACTTGAGCGTGACATACATTTGCATCAGCCTGCAGGTTTACTCATCAAACACAAAGTTATTGTACCAGAGGCAGTATTTTACAATACTGTGCTAAGGAGTCTGACTGATTTAATACAAAGTACTAACTGACTCGATTGCTTTTCCACAATCACAAAACCAGAGGCTTTTACTACGAAGCAGGATAGCTACACATATTTACAGTCTTGGCCTATCTTTAATATTTGGAAATTATTTTCAGACTTTGTACATCTTCTGTTATAAGAATACAGGTTATTGTTTACATTTCACACTGATGACATTTCACCGTCTTGTACACCAAACATACCCGCAGGTAATTTCTGTTGCCATTTCATCTCATATCATACGAAGCAGCCTACGTCATTCATGGGTCTGATGATGTCGCTCATATTTTCACATCTCCCTCTTTCACATGAATGTGCTTGTGGCTGGACAGGAAAAACCAGAGCTGAGTGAACTAGCTGATAAGTAGCTTCGTGATACCAGTTAGTCAGTCGGCCATTGTTTGGGTTAGTCAAGCCAGATGAGCAAAAGATATCCTGCGTAAGTTGAGCTGGCTTCATAGTACAGGCCTCAGAGCTCTTTGAGTTACTTAATTTTTTTAAAAAAAGGTGTGTGGCTGCTCCTGTCAATGTTTTTATTTTAAAAAGGAGGAAAACAAGATCTATAATGTAAAAAGGAGCTGCTTGTGGTGCCAAACCAAGGAGAATTATCACCTGATTCTGCTCATCTCCTCAGCTTTATGAAGGTTTTCTAGCATCTTTCAGCACTTTGTTTTGGTTTTATGACCCACATCTTTTCTGTTTTGGTTTGTCTCCCTTCCCTCATCGTGTTTTCAGCAAGAAAGAAAAGAAGACCCACTGCACACTACCTGTCCTGTACCAAATCGCAACCAGACAAAATTAGCAACTAGCACACATGCACCACCTTCAGGCAGTGGCGACCAAATCAGAGCTAAAAGAAAAGTGAATATTGGACTTCCATTCCTCAGACGGCCAGAAACAATATTCCAAATGAATGCTAATGTTGGTCTGTTGTGGATGTGTAAATAGGTTTGCGAACCAGTTAGCCCTAATAACTTTACAAGGTATTCACATGTTAAAATTGTGTTCACAGCTTGTTTTCCCGTCCATAGGCGGTCAAACAAAATAAATGAAGTGAGGTGTGAAAATAATGAGTGTAAAAAGATTCCAGAATCAGCCTTAAACATGACTTGAGGGTTTTCAGTGGCCCTGTACTGTACATAGAGAATACTTTCCTCATACCTTTGAATCCCAAAATAATAAACCCAGTTCAAAGTGAGCGCTGACCCTTAACTCTGCTGCTAAATAAAGAATTCACACTCTGCCTGGAGGCCTTCATGGCTTCACACTCACATGTGCTGATGTCTCTCGTGTCTTTCTCCTGAAACACAGGGCTCGCTCCAACAGTGACTCTGATATGCCCATCAAGCAGTGTCCCATGTGTGGTATCTACATTGAGAGGAACCAGGGCTGTGCACAGATGCTGTGTAAGAGCTGCAAACACACCTTCTGCTGGTACTGTCTGCAGAATCTAGACGTGAGTCTCCCCTGATGTTTAACTCACATATGATGCATGGTTTTTAACACAAAATGAAATACAAATTAAGATTTTTAAGTTCACAACATCTCAGCAACACCTCTGCTTCACTATCTTTAGTGTTTGAATGTCCTCTGTGATTGCTGGATAGTAGACTTGTTGTCTAAACGTGTGTTTTGCAATTGCAGGGTGATATCTTCCTGCGGCATTATGATAAGGGACCGTGCAGAAACAAGCTGGGACACTCCAGGGCCTCAGTTATGTGGAACAGAACACAGGTGAGGTCACCCAGCAGACAGCAGAGCAGACATACAGTATTAATTTCAGGGTTGTGATGACGCTATCATTGTCTGAATGGATTAGCCTACAGAGCCAATCATCCATGAGTGGTCAGTTATTTCGTGCATGGCTTCGATTTTACTAAAACTGTGCCACCACACTACTGGGATTGAACTTTAAAGGTTTTGGACTCCATCCCAGCTGCACTGTTTGTCTGTCAAATCAATTAGTCACTGTTGGAAAACTCTCCAGTGCGGACATTACAGGAACCTCCACAGGACAGTGAAGCTTTCATTCTGGTATGTTTCTCACACGCTTAATTGAAAATTTAAACAAAACAGGCAAAACCAGGCATAACTCAACTCTTGACTTTCCCTTTAAAGACCAATAAGGTCTGTGTAGCTCGTTGTTATTTGGTTTGTTTTCCACCAGTGTTCCCAAATAGCCCTTTATCAAGACATTAAGCCGAACTAATCCCAATGCTAATCTCAAATTCCTGCCCTGTAATGATGTTTTCCGTCTACCAAAATGATTGGCCGCCAAACCTACTTTCTTTCCACTTCCCCTTCTCTGATGCCATTATCACATGATAAGTATCAAGTTTGCAGTCAAACTCCAACGCAGTCGTTCCTTGCAAAACAACTCATGACATCCTTGGTTACACCCTTGCCTAACAGGTCCTATAAATTTTACAATCTGCTTGTTACAAATTCCCCTGCCAGTTTTAACTCCTTCTTTGCCGCCTGCAAACACTGCTGTGGTGACAGTATATTTAGAGCATACTGTGGACAGCATTTGCACATTTTCAAAATATAGATTTGAAATAATGTGATAAATGATAATGCTGACTATTACATGTATTCATGGCCAAAAGTATGTGGACACCTGATCCATGGCTTTCAATATGCTGCTATAACAGCACACTGTCTGCCACAAGAGCATAGAGAGGTCAGACACTGATGTTGGGTGATAAGGCCTGGCTGGCAGATGGTATTTCAGTTCATCCCAAAGGTGTTGGATGGGGTTGAGGTCGGTGCTTTGGGCAAGTCAAGTTCTTCCATACCTAACTTGGAAAACTATGTTCTTTGTCCATTTTGAGGGAGGGAAGGGCCAAATACAAACTGCAAACACAAAGCTGGAAACACACTATGGTCTTAGATATCACTGTATGTTATATGTTGCAATTACTTTTCTTTATACGAAACACAGACAAAAGCATGTGGACAGTCCATGCATTTTCAGTTATTATTGTAGAGCTTCACAGTACTGGCAGTATAAAACAATATTTTCATTGTCAAATGAATAGTAATATCTTGTAATAAGATCATGGTCTACGAGACTTCCAGCTAATTTTAATGGTTTAAGATTGGAACGACATTACCCAAAATCCGGCTGGCACCCTTCATACACAGCTTGTTGTTTTTGGGTGCATTCGGAAACACTCACTCCGAGTGCCGGAGCACACTCTGGCACAAACTGGACCGTTTGTAGTATCGAAGCGCTGTTGGAATGTACTGTTCGGCTGTTTCGACCACCACTCTCTCGGAGCAGCAGAGCGCCAAGTGGAGTCAATGTGTGATTCACTGAACTGTTCCTTAATTCATATAGAAGTACAATCCTCCCTTTTTTGTAACAACAGGGCTCTCATTTTAGTGTCAGACTGAATTTACGAACACACCCTTTGGTTTTTTCTTCACAGTTTAATTGCGAATATTTGTCATTGGTTTCAGCTGCAAGCTATAGCTCCATTTACTGGCATTTTTCTGCCATGAAGCAACAGCTCCTTATAAGCATTACAGTATCACAATCATTATATAATCTTACAGAATGCAGTGTAGAGGCTGATGGAGGTTGCCAGTCTTCTCAGCAATAGTCTTAATTGTTGAGAGCAATTACACCAACGTATCAAAATCAATATTGTAATGATTTATTTGTGTTAAAAAGCTGCATGTTACACTAATTATTTAATATTAGAATCGTCTGGGGCATTGTCATCTACAGCCTGTTCTCATTCCTAGGTTTTCAAACACCGACAGTTTGTCATCCCCATCAGAGTGTGATTCTGACGCTGACAGAACCCTTTGGCGTCTCTATGAGATAGACCAGGCTTTGAGCTAATTCCACTGCAGACCCATAAGTTCAAATATTTGATGCTCAGCACAGCTGGCGTATTATAAAGAGCAAGAGAGTTAGTGTAGGGTAGGAGGGAGCAAAGGCTAATGGGATAAACAGACACAGACTTTCACCCAGGAGACTGCTGTTATTGTCCCATGAGAACCAAATGCTTGTGCCCTTAAGATAAGGTCTGAGCTGTTTTAACGTGCCGACATCACATGATGTTTGTTCTAAACCTAACCAAGTAGTTTTGTTGCCTGAAGTCAACCACAACCATTTGACAATTTAACCATTTATTCCAATGAGTTTCACCCAGGAGACAGCTGTGTGTCACATAGAGATGTTACAGGGCGAGTCTCATAGAGATACCAAAGGGTGCCTTTGGCTTCAATATCACACACTGAAAAGTATGAGAAAGCATAGGTATTTGACAGTCTGGGATGAGAACGCTTTGGACATATTATCACATTATTATCATGTATGAAGTTGATGTGGCTGATGTCTATTTGCACATCCAGCAGAGTCAGATCAGTGTTAGCTGTGATGAATGTAAATGCAATATTTAGTCTCTTACTCTCCACCAACTCCTGAGGGAAATATTTGGCTCTTAAGATGCTGCCAACTTTGTCTCTTTACTGTTTATTGCAAGAGAGGAAGTGTACAGTGTATTTATATCTGATCCTTTTCACTTAGAACAGCTGCTGGCAGCTGGCAACAAGTTTGATGACAGCAGTGAGATGGGACTTAACCATAAAGTCAGGGGCCATAAAATAAAAGTGATGGGCTGTAAGGTGCTAAAATCGCCCAGTGGAGGCGAGGGAACGGTAGAGCTGGGTGATAATTCTTCACTAAGTGCGACCTCTTTCACACTACACACACTCATTTGATCCATTGTTGTTGCCGTGTTGTCCTCCAGGTTGTGGGCATCCTGGTGGGGGTCAGCATCATTGTGCTGGTGACGTCTCCGCTCCTCCTGCTGGCCTCGCCATGCATCCTGTGCTGTGTCTGCAAGCCCTGCAGCGGAAAGAAGAAGAAAAAGAAGAAGAAGAAGGACCTCAGCCAGCCGGACTCCTCCACATCATAGCAGCTCCCCTTCTCATCAGCCCAGCCCAGGATCACTCCACTAATCTCACAAAGCCCCAGGAAACCAAGAGAGTGCAAGCGCTGCATGTTTGGAGTAACACTGAAGTACTTTTTCAGGACTTGACAGACTGGAAGCCTTGTTCATGGTTCGGTAACATTGTCGAGATCAACAAGCGCAGACTTGCATCTTAAAGCTTGGGGAAAGAGCTGCTTAAATCTTACTCTTTAATCACAAGAGTATGTACTTTATGAGATGGAAGTGTAAATAAGAGGAGAATGAATGTAACTGGCCTAGTTGTTTTCAGATGCACAACAGGAAGACAAGGAGACAGTGGTGGCCGTAAGAGTTTTCCTTGACAGGGCTTTTGTTATCTCTCTCTTTCTCTTACACACACAAACACACTCACACACACACATGCGGTTCAAAGAGCAACGCCACCCTCATGTGCCAAACGTCATGATGCCAAACCAGAGGTGTTAGGTGCTCAAGTGCCTCACTCTACAGTGCCTGGTGCTTGGTTGTATTTGCTTTGCCTTCCATTCTATCTTTATCTTATGCAAAAATTTTAGCATTATGAAAATGGACAACCGTCAGGATCACACAGGGTTATAAATCCCTAAACAATGCAAAACATCCTTTCATAGCGGGAGAAGGCAAACAGCGTCATATGTGCACTGTATATTCTGTGCTGATATAAAATATGATAGGGCTTTAGTGGTGCACAGATAACTTTTCTTCTGCAAATGTTTGTTGTTTCCACCTGGCATATTGTTCCAGACCAAAGGCTCTAAAGGATAATGTGTACTTTTCTAAAGTGTGTTGATGTGTAATTTATGGGTTATGTGTGTATGGTATCCTGTTCATTTCTACATTTCTGTTGATGTTTCTGCGTCAGACATTTTATAAAAGCGCCATTGTAATTGAAATAAACATACTGTACTGAACATGTATCATGGTTTAGTATTTGCTAGTGACATTTATCACTTCATGGCTCATTACTTTACTTTTGTCTTTGCGTAAAGGTCATGAGCGGAGAGTACACGGGAGTTGATAGAGCAGAAGTGAAAACATATTGTTCTTACTGTGGAGAATGTAGAGGCACTGCTGTATGAGTGGAAGAGTCTTAAGCCTTCAGTCAACAAACTGAAAGCTGGCACACTGCTTGTGGACGGTTGCCTCAGATACATGTGGTGCATAAAAACTAAAGGTAAACTAATACTGTAATGAAGGCCAGCAAGCCAGACTACTGAAAGGCACAGTTATGAAGGAGTATTTTCAGTTTAGATTTAGAGGACGATAGTGTTGGAGCACACCTAACATGATTGGGTTGGATGTCCCAGTGGCTTAGAGCGTAAACACTAAAGGCAGTTGCACCAATTTTCATGGAGACGAGAGAAATAACCAGTAGGCTTGTTCTGGCTTGACTCTTGTTTGCACAGCCAAGAGGTTTTTTGTACATCTGATCAGATAAATCATTTACTGTCACCACCATTTGGTTCTGGTGTATTGGTGATAACTGGTAATATATGTGTGTGGCTGTTTGTTATCTGCATCTACACAAGTTGATTTATGTGAGACGTTCTTGTCTTGTGATCTGATTTTGAGGTTGTTTCTTGCTGTCAAACTGCGTCAAAATATTTGTTTTCCTCTCAAAAAGTCTCAGAGAAAGGCAAATAGATAATATGTCTGCCAATGAAAAAGTCCTTGACAGTCTTCACTAACAATGTGGATTTTCTGAGTTCTCCACCAGCCTACGACAGATACAGACACATCAGAAAGCTACACTGCTTTTTACTTAACTGGCAAAGAGAGATGACAGTGATAATGAGATGAGTTTATTAAATGAGCCACTAAACACTGGTTAAATAAAGCCAATGACCAACACAGATATATATATTTATAGAACTTCACCTCACCTGACACAAAAACGTCCATTAAGTTAATACACTTTTTAAAATTAAAACATAAATCTTAAGGTAAAAAAGAGTGGAGGCCTGGTTTCACACAGCAAATACCAGATATTTAATTGTAATATTAGTGTCACTGTTGTGTCAAGATCTGAGCGGCTACTACCCCTGCGTAACCTTTTCCAGGTGAACCACTGCAACATACACTAAGGGTCTAAAAGTGAGCAGTCCACACCGCAAATCACCGAATAAAAATGATGCATAGTAACTGAAGATATCACTTAATCAGACTTGTGTATATATAAATGTTGAAGACAGAGAATGATATGATGCTTTAGATACAGAGCATGTTTAAATGTCCAGAAAACCAATTTTCCCATTTTTCACACTTCGTGCAACAGGCCTACACCATACAATTACATCAGCATTGTCCCCTTTATAGCAGTTGGAATAAAACTTAGTGTTTGACCAAATAATTCACCATTGCAGTGGAAATATTGTTTAAAATTCCACACAAGTTCCAGTGTGTGACGACTGAAACTGACTCGCACTTTTAAATCATTGACTGTATATAAAGATGGACGACATGACAGCTCCCCAAAAGTGAAGCCTAAACATCTCAATCGCCCCTGGTGGCTGGCTGCAGTATGGGTCATGAAGCCTGCACCGTCCGTATTAGTAGATGGGACATGGCCAAACTAAAAACTCAAAGTACATGTCAAATACATTTTCCCCAAAGATAGTTTCTGTCAATTAAGGTGATTGGTCGTTTTTCTTGGTTTTAATTAGTTATTTAATGCTATAAAATGGGGATTTTACAACTACTGCTCAGACTCTGCAGCCAAGTATCAACATTTTCTCTGGTAAGCACTTTTAGCATGCTTAAATTTATAACATTATGTTTTAAACTGCTAACACTAAGCTGACGTCAGCTAATGCTTAAGTTATTTCAACATGCACAGTTAGCTAACTCAACATTTATCTGTGTTACAGTTACCTTTGTTGTAAAATCATTTTGTATGTTTTGAGTAACGATAGCACTTTAAAGGTGAAGTGTGTAAAATTTAGGGGATTTGATGGTGTACAGCGGTAGGAACTTAGAGTCACTGTCATTAGTTTACCTAAATTATACATAAAATTAATTCCAAATAATTGTAGCCTACAAAGTATTTTAGTGAGTGCACAGCAGGTCAACTCAAAATGAGTAAAAGTTAAATATGTAGTCAGGTGTACATACATTCAACATATGATTTTTTTTCTTTTTCTTACAGTAATCAGTGATAATAATATAGTAATATTCAGCTTTGAACTGAGCTTTTCTTTCAGTGAATTTCCTCTCAAAACCTGCTTATAAACTCAAAACAAGTAAGCAATTTAAATAACTGTCTCAAAACTCGGCCCCTATTTTTTTTTATAATCGTTCATACAAAATTTGTCAAATCACTTTAACAAAAATACACCTGTGAATCCAATGTATGCACAAATCCGTGCATACAAATGTTTTATGCAAAAACAACCACATTTACCTGAATTTGTTTGCACTCTTTAAACAAATTTAGAACTGCCTCACGGCTTTCTGTGAAAATGTAAACATAGTCCTTTCAACTAAATGCACAATAAATTTAAACTGCATTCATTAAAAACAAACACTTGAATAGAAAACAATATCGAAAAAATATGCATTGGCTGAATTTATTAAGGGCGGCACGGTGGTGTGGTGGTTAGCACTGTCACCTCTCAGCAAGAGGGTTCCAGGTTCAATCCCGGGTGGGGGGTGTACGGAGCTTGCATGTTCTCCCCGTGTCAGCATGGGTTCTCTCCGGGCACTCCGGCTTCCTCCCACAGTCCAAAAACATGCAGATTGGGGATTAGGTTAATTGATAACTCTAAATTGTCCTTAGGTGTGAATGTCTGTCTCTATGTGTCAGCCCTGCGATAGTCTGGTGACCTGTCCAGGGTGTACCCTGCCTCTCGCCCAATGTCAGCTGGGATAGGCTCCAGCCGTGTGCATGTGGCATGAATCCAACATTAATAATGCACACACACCTATTTTTGGTGCAAAGAAAGTTTCTACGCACTTATCAGTGAAGAAGGCCCACTGTTTTGTTAGTCTGAATAATCCACCATAAAATAGTCCCCATAATAAATGTTATCTAGAGAAACATTTTTTAAAAAAAAATGAAATTTATCAACCCAACCCTTTAAACCTCAACTGTGATGTAAAAACACACCCTGTAAAAACTCAAAATCTTTGCCAGACGGCTAAATCTTAAAAGGCTTAAAACAAATATCCTTGTGTTGTGGGAAGAAATATGAAAAGAACAAAATAATATCATAACACAAAAAAATAATGTCAATACAATACAACTTTGATTTCTGACTTTGAGATGGAAATACCAGTGTAACGGAGTAATAATTCAATATTACAGAACAAGGAGGAAAGAGATGAAGAAGTGCAGGAGCAGGCTCGGCTGTCTCCAGGGCAGAGTATCAGCTCCAGCTCCAGACATGATGACACAGAGGGATCCTCACAGTAACCTACTGCCACACATAGAAATGATTTTCTTCTTTTCTATATTTGTACTTTTGTTTTTACCTCACATTTTCCTGGCTGCTGTTTTTATTTCAAAAGAAAGATTTAGAGATCTAGTTCATTAGCGATTGTTGTGATGGGATGTTGTAAATGGTGATTTTAAAGGACCCACATTATGCTCATTTTCAGCTTCATACTTAAATTTTGGGTTTATAAGTATGAACCTGAAAATGAGCATAATGTGGCAGATGTTTACATGCTTTAGTGTTCAAAAAACACATTATGTTTTGCATAGTGTCTGAAACGTCTTTTTAAACCCCTCTCCCGAAAAAGCCCAGTCTGCTCTGATTGGTCAGTGTTTGCGGGTCTTCCACATCTGTGCTCTGAGCGTCTCTCCACTGTCATTGTAGCCGGGGAAATGACTGTGGTGGTACTTTCATCTTTATAAATGGAATTACATTGCAAGGCAACAGCTTGAGTCCATGTTTACTTCCTGTCAGCTGATATCATTCACATGCACTGCAAAACTTCCCCACAGGAAATTTAAAGTGACCCAATGAGAGTGTGTAGGTTTTTAGTTTCCTTATGTTATTACTTACTGTGTATCTAGTTTTCATTTGACTTTTATATTGTGAGATTGATAAATGAAATTGACTTGATTCACACACAGATAACTATTTTGACTTCTGTATCAACTGCACGCTCACAAATGAAGTGTTTTTAGTTTGCAGTCCCACTGTTTCCTCCTTTGTGAACACACTACATGTATTATGGACCTGGGATACAGTTGTGCTCTTAGCTCAAACATCTGGGTAGAGCCCAACTATTTGCTCGCCTAAAGTTTGTGTTCAGCCCTTTTGCATAATTTGTCACAGCGCCAGGAAATTGTCCAACATTTGTTACAGTTAGTTTCCTCTCTCACAACTGATAACTGCAAATGGAGCAAAGAATTGTGCAAACATCCAGTTTTCAGAGAGGCTGGTCTATCTGATCCTGCAGAGATCCAAGATAATAAAGCTAGAAAAGATGATGATTGGACTTTATCTTCAATTACTGTGGCATCTGTGGCAGTGTGATTCACTTCTGAGTATTGCAGCCAGTCAGTAAAACAAAAGACAATCTTACCTTTTCTCCTTTATTTCATCAGTGTCATGGCACACATCACATAAGGTTATGTCATAGGTTACATTTGGTCATAGTTAGCTCTACTAAGGCCTGACACCAAAGTGTTGCAAATATGTTCCTCTATTATACCAAAGTGACATGAAATTTCTCACTACATGTCCAGACAGAAAAAAATATAGACAAGATTTCTGTTTTCCAGGCCATGAATATGTAATACCCAGACTACTGAACATACTTAGTGGAAAGGATCTCTCTGAGGTTTGCCATCAGTGTGATATTGATAATATATATATACTGATGTATAGTTATAATAAAACCTAACCAACAGTTCTTTGCACACATGGGACTATATAAATAAGTTGTAAACACCCAGATCTTCTCCC